AGACATGCATAGAAGGAAGACAATGTGAAGAGACAAAGAGATGACAGCCTTGGAGACAGGCCTGGAACAGATCTTTCCACCACAGCTTTCTGGAGGAACCCTGCAGACACCTTGATTTTGGACTTTTAGCACTGTGAGACAGTAACTTTCTGTTGTTTGAACCACCCATTCCGTGGTGCTTTCTTATGGCAGCTCTAGCAAACTTATACAATCCTGTTACAAAACTGCAGCAGGAGGCCCTGCTACCAGCTTACCCTAGCTGCCTGTCTACCTTGATTCACCCTTTTCTCCCCTCCACAGATTTCCTCTAAATATACTTAAACCCATTCATTAGAACTCTCAGGAATCTGACCCTAGAATCCTAGTGCTTGCTGCTTCCCTGGAATACATATTTTTACTACCCTCTTTGGATACTGTACTTTATCTGGCAAACTCGATCTTCTCTCTTCCCAACACTCACTGCTCTGCCCCTAGCAGGAAGGCCAAATCTCAAGTTTTAACTTGTCTTAATCTCTCCCCATACAACATTTACTAGTGACCCATGCCGCATTGCATCATAGAATATGATCTTCCATACAACATTTACTATCATGGAATATTGGCTTTCTAGGCTCCTAGGTATTATTGCCTACTCCCGGGGTTTAATATCTCTAAAATAAAGTTACTCGTACTCATATCTTGACAAATTATATGTTGCTTCCACCTCTCCCCTGTTTGGGAGACCCTCTCCTTTTATTTTTGTTAATATGAGTTAATCAAATAGACTTTCTAAAATTAAGAGACACTATTGGTAGCAAATATCATTACCTAAAAGTTTCTATAGATATCAATGACCATTTATCCAGCATGAGAGAGAAAATACATTTATTAAAATGTTCTAAGAATATATCATTTGTTACATAAGAAGTAAAGAAAAAACTAAACTGTGGCTTCAATTGCCACTTTCTTAGCATACCACAGTAATGTTACTACTATTTTTATACCTGATCATGTAATTTTGGTGTAGCTTTGGGATATTCACTTTCTTTGCTAAATAGGAAAGGGTACAATAGGCCATAGTGTACCACAGATCCATCTTTGTATGTTTTCCATTCCTTTTACATTTTCCCCAGTATTGTTCTGAGATTTTCATGTGATACTACAAAAAGTAAGATGTAGATTATTTAGTGTTTTTCAGCTATTATACAATAGACTAAAACCAAATTATCCCCCACTTTTTATTGCCTATTCCTAGAGTACTTCATTGTACCCACTGATGCTATTCCCTAAGGATAAAATGTTGTGAATTTGGTGTTCATTAAACAGGGAGGTTTATTGTCTCTTAGTAGCTTGCAGAATTCTATGGTGAAGTAGCCTGAGAGGAAAATTAGAAGTTGCTTGAAATCATAATTTGAATTAGACTCTTGTTTGAAATGTTCTGAACTATTTTTCTAACTCAGCTTTAAGTCATTCTTAAATTTTCTGATTGGGTGAAATAATAGCGTCATACAATATAGAACCAAATAAAAGCTGAGATCATTAATCTGAACCTCTTCTGACACAGGAAATGAGAACAAGCTCAGAGAAAGAAAATGGGTTACCCAAATTGCAAGAATTAAGTAGTATCAGGGCTCCAGAACCCAGGTATTCTATCCCGAACAATAGATCTCTGCTCTGCAAATAGAGTACATATATCTGAACATAACCAACTTTAACAAAACTATTATATTAGTGGATTTATCTTCTAAGCATCATCCCCTGTGACCTGAGCTTTTCCTCTCTTGAGAAAACTTAAATTTTCCTTTACCTAATCTCATTCCCAGCTCCTGTCTCAGGATTTCTAGTCCAGAGTCTTAAATTTGAAAGCTTTTCTTCTGTGTTTGGGGTAGCATCTAATTTAGTCAAGTCACATGATAGTGTCAGATGGCTTTATGTTAAGCTTTCAAATATGGATTCCCCACAGCATAAGTCCAAGTTCATATGATAATCAAAGCCATGGGTTGAATATTATCATTCATCTTTACAAACCATCTAATTATCTGAAGAAATTGTTTATGGAAAAAGAGTGATGAAATCTTTACCCATTCAGATCCACTCTCCATCTTTCTCTACCCAGTTATGTGCTCCTGGAGGCTGACCTGTATGGGCTGCATCACTGAGCTCCTTTGTCTTCTGGCTTCCAATTGGGTTTGAAGAATGGGCAGCATCAGAGGGCAGGAAAGACAGGAATTTGGGGTATTGACTCCCTCAGCTCTGTCTCCACAGAATCTTTACAGGTTGGCAGCATCCCTCTGCTAAAGACCACAGCTACTTTCAGACAACCCAGACCATATATGTGGGTCCCAATAGCCACTCCCCATCCTTGCTCCTCCAGGCCTAGAAGTGGTAACAGCTTCTCAATAATACTACTTCCAGGGTAATGCGTTATTCCTTTCTGATTTCCATAACTCCTGTGGATGCTTTTGTAAATAGCTCATCTATCAAACCCTCTTCAGTTACCCAGTTTGAATGTAGCATCTGTGTCCTGGCAAGACCCTGACAGTCAAATAGGACATTAAATAATTTGACTAAGTAATTTAAATATTCTTATATTATCACAAATGTGTATATTAAAAAGCAAATGCAAAATATAAACTTACTGTTCTCTGCTAAAGTATATCTCTGTGGAATGTTTCAGGGTGTGCTGACAAATGTAATCCTCTTTCTTTAAGGAAAATTTATGATAACCAGAAGGCAATTAGAACTTCTGCATTACCACTTCTTTTCTGGTATTTGGCTTCTAGTAAAAGAGGAAGAGGAAAGGAGAAAAATGAAAAGAATTTCATGCAAGAATTCACCTTACAAAAAATGTTTTCAAATTATGCCCTGAGCTCAGAATACTTACTCTCCTTTTCTAAAAAATAATCTGGTATTCACATTTAAAATGTTTTCCTTTTTACATTTCTATCCACAAATATAATTTTATTAAAAGGCATATATGTGATCATATCATAAGCATTTATTTGGATTTTTAATTTTTTTTCTTCCTTTCCTGTTCAGCTTCCTTTCCCTTTCCCCATCTCTTGCCCCATCTCCATCATTTATCCCCTTTCCAAATAATCCATGATAGCAACTTAGTCTCTACTCAATACATGTTTTTTCCAACATTGTATTTTATACACACACACAAACACCTGCACATATACATTTAAGGAGTTGTTTTGATCATCGTTTAAAAAAAGGGGATTATATTATACATTATTTTCTGTATCTTGCTTTCTCATTCAAAAACACCATTTGGAAATATCCACATTAACTGGAATACATCTCATGCATTTTTTTAACTGATTGTACAATATTCCACTGAATGGCTATACTATAATTTATTCAAGCATTACCTACTATTGGACATTTACTTTGATAACCATCTTCTGCCACTAGAAGTAATGTGTCTGTGTGTACATGTATGTTCACAATTGTTCTTTATTTCTAAGAGCTGGATACCCTGAAAAGGATGACTAGGTCAAGTGGCATGGATATTTTTAGTTTTAATACATGTTGCCAGATTGTTTTGCAAAAAGCTATAGTAGGTCAAATTTCATCCAGCAATGAATGAGAGTTCTCTTTTCCCTACATTCAATCAATAATAAGAATTATAAATCCTCCTAAATTTTGTACCTGTTTCTTGAGCAATGTCTTATTCTTTTCTTAATTTGCCTTTCCCTTTGCTAATAGCATCTTTTCAAGTGCTGTTGACTATTCAGATTTGCATTTTGGCTATTTTTTATTGGCAGAGAGATTTTATGCATAAAATAGAAATTTGGGGACATATAGGCAACTGTAAATTTTGGATACTTATCTTCAAATTGCCTATTATACAAAGAATATTGTTGAAATATGCATAATGTAAGCTGTTCTTCATTTTTAAATGTTTCTCTGTTGCTGAATAAAAGCATATGCTCCTCTGAGAACGTAGGTCAATAAATTATTTCTAAGAGTGAGTTTTGAAATAATTGCCTCTTTAAATTTGTTGCCCATTTTTACATTGAGTTAAAAAGTTCTTTTTATAAAATATATTATGTATGTCTGCTGTTGCTAATGTTTTCCTAAATATATATTTTTCCATTAAAGTTATGGACATTTTAATAAATTTATAAAGTCAACTATACCTGAGCCCAATTTTACTTAAAAAGGTCTAACCCACCCTACCTACTACATGTAGTTTTCTAGATTATCTAACAGAATGTTTATTATTTATTTTCAACATTTAAGAGTCTAACCCATCTGAAATTTATTTGTGTGTATAATATATAAGGTCCAATTTTATTTTGTTACAGATGCCCAAGCCAATTAAGCCTATCTCATGTATTTTCTTTTTTTGATTTTACAGAATTTTGGTTTTTATTTTATTGAGATCATATGGTATTTGTCTTTCACTGTGTTGCTTATTTCACTTAGCATAATGCTCTCCAGACCCATCCATGCTGTCACAAAGGGTAGAAGCTCCTTCTTTCTTTCTGCTGCATAGTATTCCATTGTGTAAATGTACCATAGTTTTTTGATCCACTCATTTACTGATGGGCAATTAGGCTGTCTCTAGCACTTGGCTATTGTAAATAACACTGATATGAACATTGGGGTGCATAGGTTCTTTTGAATTGGTGTTTCAGAGTTCTTAGGGTATAATCCCAGCAGTGGAACCACTGGATTGAAAGGCAGTTCTATCTTTAGTTTTCTGAGGAAATTCCAAACTGTTTTTCACAGTGGCTACACCAGTCCACATTCCCACCAATGGTGTTCTAGGGTTCTCTTTCTCTACAACCTCTCCAGCACTTGTTGTTTGTTGATTTATTTATGATCATTATTCTCAATGGTGTGACATGTTATCTCATTATGGTTTTAATTTGAATCTCTCTGATGGCTAGTGATGCTGAGCATTTTTTCATGTGTCTATGAACCCACTGTATGTCCTCCTTGGAGAAGTGTCTATTCCTTTGCCCATTTTTAAAAATTTATCCCATGTATTAAATAGTCCACCCTTCTTACTTACCTGCCAGGGGAGATACCATGATCACGAAAGTGATTTTCCCAGGGTGAGGCTTATCCATTGCACTCTGGATGTGCTGACCCCTGTAATTTCCACCAATGTGGGGAACTAGACTGCATTTTCTATTCTCTCCCAGAATTACTTGTCATTTCTAAAGTCTTATATATGTTGGAATCTTTTTCTGGACTCTCTATATTTTTCCATTACACCATTTGTTTACTCTTATTCAATTTCTCTATTAATTGGGCCTTATAATATTTTCCCTCATCTGGCAAAATGTTGCCCCTTCTATTCTGATATTTTCTTTAAAAATACCTTGAAAAAACAAAAAAAAAAAAAGAAAAAAAACCCACCTTGACTCTTCTCAGACATTTACTCTTCCACCTAAGAAATAAAGGATATTTTGCCCTGACTGGTGTGGCTCAGTGGGTGTGGTGTTGTCCAGCAAAGCAAAAGGTCGCCAGTTTCATTCCAGGTCAGGGCGCTTGCCTAGTTTTCGGGCAAGGTCCCTGGCTGGGGTGTGTAAGAGGCAGTCGATGGTTGTTTCTCTCTTTCTCTTTCTCCTTCCCTTCCTTTCTCTCTAAAAATGAAAATAAAATAAAAATATTTTTAAAAATACAAGAAATAAAGGATATTTTATTCAGTTTTTTAAAAAGCATACAAAAATTCACCTATTGGCATTCTAACTAGAAATAATTGAATTAATATATTAATTTAAAGAAAATCAAGTTTTTTATATTATCTCCTCCAAGATTAGAAGTGTCTTTTCATTTAGTCAGATCTTGTTTTATGACCCTCAGTTCACATTTATAAGCCTTGTAAATTATAGTAGTTCTGAATTTTTCTTATTAGCTTTCTCTTATGAATGTTCTGTGTTTTTCTAATAATATAAATAGAATAGATTTTTTTCAATTTCCTTTTCCAAGTACTTATTGCTAGAAAACAGAAAAGTGATTGATTTTTAAAATACATATCTTATTTTCATGAGTGAATTGAAGGAGTACTTTATGTAGAGAGCTGGGATAATAGCCCTCCGAGTAGAAGGAAAAGAGCGCAGACATACTTAATGAGGAGGGGACATGCTTAATGAGGCAATAAATAACAAACAGATCAGGATGGCTGTAAGCAATGAGCAATGGGAATAGTAGAATAAGATAACACAGTCAGAGAAGTAGCATTGGGCAAGATTACATAGTATCTAATGAGCTGCATAGGGTTATCTATTGTACATAAAAATTACCTCAAAATTAGCAACTTAGAATAATAATAAACATTTTTTTACCTCATAGTCTCTGTGGGTCAAAGATTTGTCAGTCATTTAGCTGGGAGCTTTGGGGTCCTGGTCTCTCTTGAGGTTGTAGTCATCTGAAGGTTTGACTGGGACTAGAGGATCCACTTCTAAGATGGTTTACTTACAAGAATACCAGTTCATTTCCTACTTGATACCTGAAGTAAAACACTGAAGTATGTGCATAGTCACCTGTCTCTGACTATTTTCCTTGGCTCCTATGCTAATTTTGAAAGACATGTTTTGAATATGAACCCATCTAAATGTCAGACCCTAGCTACAATGTCATAACCATGTACAGTTCTAAAGCCTGTAACTATTCTCTTTTGAAAACACATAGCATTTATGAGAGGACAGTGAAAAAAAGCCATGAATATTTTAAAGCAGGAAATATGAGGGGCCTCCAGATTTTTGACAAAATCTCTTTGATGAAATACTGCATGTAATTTCTACTCTATTGCAAACATAATAAAAGGCAGTATCTCTCACCATGGAGACTCTGTAACATCTACCAGTTTATAAAAGGGAGGCCTCATGTTTTATTAAATGGGAGTAGACTTGGTTGGAAAAAATTACTCCATCCTTAAAGAGCTTAGTCTCTCCTTTCAGAATGAGGTTATGTGTTCGGTCTTAGTGATGACCCTACAATTTACATAAGTTGTTATTCTATTTTTTCTTTTTGTTTTATGAAATTTATTCTTATAGAAAGTAGAGCTGCTCTCAGCAGTCACCTTTCTGTGTACCTTCCCTTGGTCAAACCTGCCAGACTTGGAGAGTAATACATAGCTCCAGACCCAAGAAATAAAAGCAAATATCAGAAACTGCATGAATAGTGAATCAGTCAAAAGTCAGAGAGAAGGCAATGTCTCTGATGCAAATTAAAAATTCCAGAAAATATCCAGGGCCCATCCAGCAGAACAGAGGCCAAGAAAAAAAAAATGTATCAGTGCAATGAGGATATCTAGATCTTTTCCACTGACTGCAACTCTGTTTTTGAGAAGCGTAGTTCATTAGGATCTATCAAAGCCCAGATACTACATCTCTTATAATTATCCAATTTCTTCTATGTGTAATTCCACCCTCATGCACTTGACCTTCTGATAAGTTGTTTCTAGGTTCACCAGAAAGGGAGTACCTTGGAGAGAAGACTCTGTGGCTCAAGTCACTAGAAATGCCTACATCCCTACATAAATTAATAAAATTTTCATTTGGTTCACAAACCAGACTCCTATAAATTTTATTTTATGGTTTGCTGGAACCTTACTGCTTCCTAGAGCAGGAGGAAATGAAGTAGCATGCTATTACTTCTTTTCTCTCTCATTTTATATTCAAAAGGAAAATCAATACATGAATGTTAAAAGCACTCCAAAAAACTTTTTAAGTTTTTTTGATAAATATGGATGGAGAAGTTTGAAATAGGAAAAAGTATGAATTGTAAGACATTGCTAATGAAACAAAGTTTTAAATTAAACATATATAATAACCTAACATGCTAACAAACTTTTATAAATGTGAGATGTTTCAAATTTACTTTATTTAGTAGATAATTTATGTCTAATTAGCCAGAACCATTTCATCACAATCAATTACACAAATACAGAGTCCTTCGCCCCTGATAAATCCCCTCTATCTGTGTGTTGTAGGTAGTCCTCTCTCATCTGCAAATGAATAAAACTCAAACTAAACTTGTTTAAACAGAAACAGAAAGTTAGGATAAAAATTTCATACAGAATCCAAAGTCAGAAATGTGACTAGCTGAGCCTTAGACACCTGTAGAATAAGAGACATACTTGGTAAATTCTATCATACTTCTCTCTGCTTAGCTTTATCCTTGTTCCTTGCTGCAAGCTGACTGTCTTCATGTGATGGAAAATATGACTAGCAATGAGTTCAGAGCCTTACATCTTACTTTTTCAAATATCCAAAGGCAGACTTGTCCTTTTTCTCATTTCCTGTTCTAAAATGTTGGTCTTAGACTCTGATTAGTAATTTGACTTGAGTCAGGTAATCATTTACTGACCAATCAAATGCAGCCATGAGTGAGCTCATATTGTACTGGTATTGAGGATCCTATGATAACCAAGTAGATGTAAAGGCAGTTTCCAGAAGAAAGGAGCGAAGGTGATATTATATATATATATATATACACACATACCTATAGGTATGTATATATATATATATATATATATATATATATATATATATATATATATATAAAATCTCGAGTATAGGTATTTTGGAGGGATAGATCCATAAATTCATTCAAATTTTCTAGGGATCCTGACCGCAAAATATTTATGAACTATTGCCTTAGTACAACATATGTCCTTCAACATTCTCCCACACCAGGGAAGTAAACATATACTCCCTTCCATATTTCTATACTAGATTATTATTTAAACTTTCTTAAGGCTTATACAAAGTAAATAAAATAAACCCACAAATTCTAAATTATTAAAATCAAATTAGCAATTTTATCATGCCAGAGAAATACATTTCATAGTCAACCTCTTGACACTGTTTGACCGCTTTTCTAGTTATGTGTTATTATTCCATTTACTATAATGGGAAGCACTAATCAGGTTAGAGAAGAATCATTATTGTGTATGTGATCTTTGATTAAGGCCTAGCAATGGTAGTTCCAAGGTGTGTACTAGTAAGAAATGGAGCAAGAACTATTTTTGGATTGAGGACCAAAACTCAGCTAGAAAAGTCCTTGCCTCTGTCCTTGATTACTCTTAATATAGTTTACAGTTAAGGATTTTCCCCAATACCTGAGCTTTTTCTTAAGGTAATAACTTCTGGAAACTACATCAACTCTCATGACCTCCTTATTCAGCTTTTATTATGCAGTCCACAAAAAAATTATGTCTTATTGATAAACTTGGCATACACACTTGATAAAATAGGCAGTTTTCTGTACTAATCTAAAATCATGTCTAAAGAATATTCAAGTTAATGTAGATTACATTGTATATGACCACATTAATTGTGAAACATTATCTTATAATCCAGCTGTTTTAGCCCAATTCATTGTCCTCATAAACAGAGACAAAATTCTGAGATTTTTTTAAGCATATAGGTAAAGGGTTAGTAGATATAGAAGAAACACCTCCTTTTTCATGAAATATTGAAGTCAATTTGCAAAAATATTATTTATTTGTGACTGGTAATACCTGTGATATTATAACTAAAGTTAACGGGGAAAATAGGAATCAGGTTACAATCAATTTTGATAGATCTGTTATTAAATAGGCAATTGGAGTAGTAAAGAGATCTGACATGAACTGAATTTTAGACTGGGCTTTACCTCGATTCCAGTTTTGTGACCTGGTTATTTAACCTCTTTGGTTATCAGCTATCAAAGGAGAGTGGTGACCTCCCACTGAGCTATCTTCCTGCTCTTACATCCTAAAATCTTATCTCTATCAACTATATTACATTTGGCAGGAAATAATAAGGACACAAAATAACTGTGGTTAAAGCAAAGTATAAATTTATTTCTCTCTCACGCAAAAACTGAGAAGCAATCCAGGGCTCACATAGCAGCCCTGCTTCACAAAGTCCCCAAGAACAGAAGTCCCTTACAACCCTAAGGTGCGACCCTCATCCTTGTGATCTAAAATAGTGACTAATGCTCCAGTCATCATACTTGTGCTTTAGGCAGCAAGATGAAGAAAGGAAAAATAAGATAGTAGGCAAAAGGCACACACTGACCATCTTTTAAGGAAGATTCTTGGAAACTACCACACATCATTTCTGCTAATATTCCATTGGATACACTAAGTTGCAAGGGAAACTGGGAGATGCATTCTTCATTTTGGGTGGTCATGCTATCAACTACAGATGGGGAGTGTAGTTGTGGCGG